GAGATGCGATGGGGATCACAGGTGTTTGTGAACAGCTGCAGCCAAGAAGTCTGTGCAAAGCAATACCAGGCTGGCAAGAGCCGCAGGTGTTCGCATTTAACCGCATGCCGAGTGATTACATGCGGCTAGGGACAGATAAGCGGCCTTGTACACAGACAGTTTGCCTTCAGGGCTACTCTTATGTCCCTAGCTACATATAGCTGCTCGATGTGTGTTACATGCCAACAGCAGCGACTCCTGTCATTGCTTTGCACATGCCTTCTGGCCATAGCTGTTCGCAAACACCTGTAACACTGGTCTAATTTTGGGAAATTATCGACCTCCGAGATTGCTGCCTATCTCAAGTCTGACATGAAAGCCATTGTGATGGAGGCGATTCAGCAGCAGCTGGGCCCTCTGTAGCAAACAATAGAGTCACATGGCCACCGCTTGCAAACAGCGGAGCAACGGGTCAGTGATCTGGAGGACTCGTTACATGGCACACAGCGGTCACTTGAAAATTCTAACCATTCCATACATCTCCTAATGGAAAAGGTAGACGACCTAGAAAATAGGTCCAGGAGAAATAACCTAAGGGTCATCGGTCTGCCGGAGACAGTTCCCCCTGAGGACCTCCAGCATTTCTGCGCAGTGACCATACCAAAGGCCTTGGGCCTGCCGTCCCCATGCAGGGTTGAGCGTGCACATAGAGTGGGTGCCCATAGGCATAAAAACCCAGACCGGTGATAGTCCGCTACCTGGGCTTCAATGACCGCAGAGAGATCCTTCAAACATATAGAACCCAGCGCAACATGGTGGCAGAAGGTCATACGCTCCTGCTTTTTGCAGACTACTCGGCGGCCTTGACCAAACAGCGCAAGTCGTTCTCTGAGGTGTGCAGATTACTAGTGGATTGTCGCATCAAATTCACTTTGGCCTATCCTGCCGTGCTCCGCATATCTACCTCAAACAGCACTGTGGAATCATTCTTGTCAGCAACAAGGGCTATGGAGTTCGTGATGGCACCAAGGGAGGCCTCCCTGGTCTCACCGTCCAAAAGCCCCCCGAGGAAGAAAAAGGCCTAAGGGCCCGGATGGTGTAAGTGCTCCACGGGACGGAGCTTGATAAGTAAGTCAGATCAAGATTTTGAGAACTGCTTTGTTGATGTTCCAAAGTGGCAAAGTAATAGGGGCCCCTGCCAAGGGGAGATCTGCTGGGGTGCTCATCTTCTGCCCCACACAATCCTCTCACACAGATGCTATTCACAAGAAGGCAGGTGGGCCTTTATCTCCATTCTATTGGGTTCCACCACGCTTGATATATGGAACGTTTACGGTCCGAACTCGGATAACCGGTCATTTTTGGAGACCACACTGTCTCAAATTTCCCAGGCCCCTACGCAGGCCCACCGCATCATCGGAGGAGACTTCAACGCCGTACCATCTCCGCTCGAGGACAGATCGAACGGCATTCGGCCTTCTCGTCTACTAGCATCACCACATGATAACCACCTGAATTCACTGATATCCGCCAGCGGTATGGTAGATGCATGGAGATTTCTTCCCCCCCTTGAAAGAGACTTCACCCATTTCTCCCACGTCCATGGTACTATGTCCCGCATTGACCTTTTTCTCGTATCCCCGTCCATTCTGGCCAAAACCCGCTCTGCATCCATTGAAAACATGGTTGTCTCGGACCACTCCCCAGTATCATTATATATCCTGGATCTCACCGTCCCCACTCCCCCGGTCTCTTGGAGATTCCCCGCTTACCTGCTCAAAGATGACTCCTTTCGAGCCGAACTTAAAGTATGGTGGTCAGATTACCTCGCGCACAACTCCATACACATTGATCAACCTGTGTTATTTTGCCAAGGCGGTATTGCGTGGTAGGATCCTGGCCTATGTTACCTCACGTAAAAAAGCCACGCGGCTCAATTATGCAACCTCTTGTACCGAAGCCAGGGAGGCGTACGTGACTTACAAGTCGACTCTCTCTGATACTGATAGAACCCGGTGGATACAGGCTAAACAGGAATGCGACCATTGGCTCCTCCAATACGACCGCCTCATTAGGTCCTATAAATCGTCTGAATTCTTTAGATTTGGAGACAAATCCGGTAAGCTCATGGCTAACTTGGTGCGGGGGACTACACCTACCTCTCACATCCTCAAATTGGCTGACAATGCGGGCAAGATACTCACCGATCCTGCTGCCATTTCGGAAACTTTCTGTACCTATTATCGTAACCTATACGCTGCAGATGACACCAATGCCGGAGCGGGTCAAGTGTTTCTAGATTCTATCGCCTTGCCCTCATTGTCAGCGGATGATGTGGACTTCTTGAATTCGGAGGTAACGCTAGAGGAGGTTAAAGACACCATGGGGTTGATTTACTAACCTTTTAAACACACCACGAACGTGTATACACCTCTGTAGTGTGTTCCCTCCCATCATGATCTATGGGAGGAATCGAAACACCTTTGTAGTGTGTACACACCCAGCAGGTGTGTTGTGCAAAGCCCTGCAATGAATTGCAAGGTAATGTGGTGTAAATTAGCTCTATGTTATGTTGCTTGCATTGATGAATGCAGGAATGTAAATGCATGAGCTAACCATTTTTGTCTAAACTGTGAAGCAACATTATATATGCATCATGTGCATGATTTTTCCATATATGGCATTAGTGGAAATATGCTTTTAGAGACTTTTTGGTTGATAAATACGTTTTGCTGTGTGAAAATCACACACACCTGGTGCGTGCGTGTGTTTAGGTTAGTAAATCACCCCCCATATGTCTCTCCCCACCCTCCAAAGCACCAGGACCCGATGGTTTGTCTTCTGCATTTTATAAGATTCTGACGGTGGAGGTGTCCCCACATTTGTTAAGCTTGTTCCACCACATTCTATCTAGCCGTCACTACCCTCCCACTTTCAATGAAGCTTATATCAGGCTCCTACCCTAAAAAGGTAAAGACCTACTTCAGCCAGGATCCTACCGCCCGATCTCATTGTTGAACTTTGATGCCAAGCTCTTGTCTAGGATCATGGCTAATCGCTTGTCCACTATTTTGCCTCGTTTAATCTCTGATAACCAAGCTGGTTTTGTTACAGGTCGTTCTGCGGGATTGAACATCCGCAAGATACTGTGCGCCCTTGATGGTATGAGGCTGTCGGGGCCTTCTACATGCCCATTGGCCTTGTTAGCTCTCGACGCGGAGAAGGCTTGCGACAGCGTCTCCTGGCAATGGCTTCAGAATGTTTTGGTAAGAATGGGCTTCCATGGTGATTTCCTGCATTTTGTTTCTACTCTGTACATGTCACCTGAGGCCAAGATATTCACCTCCACGTCCATCTCGCCCAGATTCCAACTACACAGGGGCACAAGACAGGGTTGTCCCTTGTCTCCCTTACTCTTCAATATAGCTCTAGACCCGTTGTCCCGTTCCCTGCTATCTCCCAAATTATTTACAGGTTATAAAATGGGAGCCACAGAAATAAAGTCGATGCTTTTTGCGGACGACATACTGTTGGTTCTATCAGACCCCGAAACACAAATCCCGATCCTCCTAAATCACATAGCATCCTTTGGAACATATTCTGGCCTTAAAATTAATTTGGACAAAAGTGAAATAATGCTGTTGTCTAACACCCCCACTCCCGCCCTCCTGTCGGTCATAACCGCCCACAAGCTTCAACTTAGACAACGCTCCCTCTCTTACCTGGGGATCCAGATACCCCGAAACTCCTCAGATCTTTATGCCCTGAATTTTACTCCTATTATCAATAAAATCACACAGGAACTGGCATCGTGGAAACATCTCCCATTGTCCATGACCGGTAGGTGCCATCTCATCCGGATGGTGAGCTTTGCTCGCCTCCTTTACCCTCTACAGACCCTGCCCTTACTCCTTAAACATAAAGATACGAGATCACTGGATACGGCCTTTTCACTTTTCATTTGGAGGGGCAAAAAGGCTTGCATAGCCCTCAAAAAAATGCAGCATCCTAAATCACACCTAGGTATGAACCTACCAAACATCCGGTTATACAATCTAGCGAGCATCTTTCGACACGTAAGGGATTGGATGTTGAACACTTCCTTCTACTCCAACACTCCCCTGGAGCAACAAATAACACATCCTTGGTCCCTAGCTGGCACCCTTCACTCATCCCTACACTCCCTACCCCCTCACTTGAAAGCTCATGTCCTCATAAAGGACACGGTAATCGCATGGAGGGAAGTTAGAAAACTGTTTCATATGCCGGGCACTATCTCCCCGTGGATGCCCATTACATCTTCCCCGGCTTTCCCTGTGGGGGCTGACTCCATGGTTTTCAGAACTTGGTCCACCTTAGGCATCCATACCCTACAAGACATACTCACACCTCATGGAAAATGCATACCCTTCAAAGACCTGATCTCCAAATATCGCATCGTCCCGTCCCACTTTCTACAATATGCTCAGATCTCACACTTCCTGCGCATACACCAATCCTCACCAGACTGTACATCCGCCCCTCAGGCCTTCCAGCAACTGATGACCCCCACGATCTTTACCTTATCCTTCGGGATATCCACCAACAGCCAGATAATTCCATGCCACCTTTTGTACATCTGTGGGCCCAACTTACAATCCCTGGAAGTTACCTACGCTAGTATCCTGAAGGGATGGCAACAAATCAGGAAGCATATCATATGTGAGTCCTGGTGCGAACTCTAATTTAAAATGTTCCACAGCGCCTACTACGCCTTCAATTTCGCCCCTAAATCCGCCTCTCCTGACTGGCTACAACACTGCCCCAAATGCAGCATTCATCACCCTGATTTCATTCACCTGATGTGGTCTTGCCCTAAAATAACTGCTTTCTGGCAAAGGGTGGTGGACTACATGAACTCTTTATCTGAGGAGGAAAGGGAACCCCTACCATCCCTCTGTTTATTGCATGATATGCCCCACGACCCCGCAATACTGGTCCCTTCAATTTCCCGTTGGGAGCATCTTTGCCTACTGGCTTCCAAAAAAAACATCCTCACCAACTGGCTACTCCCTACCGTCCCTACCGCGATGGACCTGACTAACACCCTTCATAGGCTCATGCTCCTGGACAAATCAGACTCTCTCCATAATGAAAAAAGAACAGGCCAGTTTTTTAGTACATGGTCAGCTTTCCTAACTACAACGCTATCCCTAGATCAACTTAAGGACATTATGCTGCCCTTTTCGATCCTCCAAATGGTACGATATAGCCAAATTAGACGGCTCATTGGGAGTTTTAGATGTCTTATAGCCCTAAGGCTATCGGTACCCTTCGGCTAGGTGATGCACCGACAATTGCTGACTCGAGACGGTGGAAAACCTCCCTCTCTTTTCTCTTTATTGTATTACTCCATCGCCCGACGTTCCTTGACCCTTGACGTCCAGTTTATCCCATTGTCCCATTTTCAGTGTTGATTCACCCTTATTCGGTCCACTCCGACAATAGATCCTCTCGAATAATACGATGATGCATTATATGTATGTCTATGTGTTTTTCCTCCCCTATCCCTTTGTGGAATACCACTCTGTTTACCGTTAATGGTTTGTTAAGTGGTTGTTATAGTGACTTTTTGATGGTATTATAGTTGTTTGAAGCACTGTTGGTCCGCATACAGCTATAACCTTGTATAACGCTTGCCCTCTAATGTTCTGTGTGTGTGTCGGGTTATTATAATGTCTATCTTTCATATGTATTACAACTGAAAACTCAATAAAAAAGTACATGCTTAAAAAAAAAAGTAATCTGCAAATGTTTAATAACTGTAGTCGATAAAAACCCTTAAGTTCCCATTCACACTTGCATTTTGGGGTATTCTTACGATTGCGCCATGTGACTCATGTAATTGGCTGTGGGTGGGAAGCGCTATGCAAAGCAATGACAGCTGGCAGTGCCTGCAGCCATTTGTGGTCATTTGCATGTATTCTGACATGCAGTGATTACCTGCAGACTGTCTGTATCCTAAGGTGATTGTCCACTGGTAATCGCAGCATGTCCAAGTACATTCTAACTGCTGCAAATGGCAGCTGTTCATATCAGTCTCATGAAGCAATTCGTGAGACTGCGCCAAACACAAGTGTGAATGGAGCCTAACTGATTTTGTTAATTACCTAAAAATGTAATGATTCACTGAGTATCAATATAAAGTAAAGATTCCCACAGTTGGGAATTTATTAAATTCATTTAATTCCCACAGTTTATTAAATTAATTGTATGTGCACTCAGCAGACAAAAGAACAATATTTCCTGGATATGTTATAAATAAGCGCTGACGTTTACTACAAGGAATTGCTTTACTTAGAGGAGTTTAATGGTTGATGGTGGGGGAGCAGTTACTCAACGTTTCTAATACACCGAGAATCACTATTATATGGATCATGTTTATCATTATGCTCTTTTTAAACTATGCAGATTTTCCCTTCTCCTGAAGAAGCGCCTGTGTGCGCAAAACGTTGAGTAACTGCTCCCCCACCATCAACCACACCATTTACTACTATGTACCGTTTGATGCTCTATTGCTGAAATCATAACCAGTTTATGCCTCTTTTCCACTGCTTGTTGTGCATTGTTTTGACTAAATGTTTACCATGTACATCTATAATGGAAGGTTGAATGGAGTGAGCACATCGGGAGCAATCTGACCAGCTGATTGTTTTTATGCTATATACTAGCTCTTTTTTAAAAATACTACCAACATTAAAACTAAATTTTTTACAGTCCACTATCTCTCGAGTTGTCATTCTATGCCTAAAAAACCCCAACTTTTTCTTTCCCTTTTTGATACCTATGGTTTGCTTAATAAATGAAAAGTGAGCAAATAAGAGAAGTTTTTATTGAATAAACATGTATGGCATTGCCAGGCTAACTACAGAACCCATATTGCCAGGGCTGACCCTAATAAGGCAGACTGAGGAGGTTCCCTCAGGCCGCATCCCATTGGGTCATGTGGGGGGGTGCCTGACGCCTCCTTTCTGGCCAGAGCGTCCCAGCTTGCTAAGAGCTGTAACCTGGGATGCACTGGCTGGCATCCTGCCCAGCTCACTGAAGCCAATGGTTGCAGGGAGCTGAGCAGGATGCTTTGGCTGGTATCCCGTCCAGCTCCTGGCACCGGACACACGACATAGACACCGCGCACCCAACTCCCCCGACTCAGAAATCTCCCCATGCTTCAGGTTTCTGTGCCATTCCCAGGAGTCTGGGATTGCAGTATGTGAAAGGGTATAGACCACCCATACACTTTACTACAATCTTTGCATCTCTACCCAACTCACCCAGGTTTCATACCCCGTCAACACTACGATTCCCCCATAACATGCAGCGCAAGCAGTCCCCCTCCCCCCAGCCTCAGGTGGCAACCTGTCAGTGATCTGTGCAGCGGCTTATTCCTCAGCACAGCCGCTGCAGAGTCAGTGACAGCCAGCAGTGGAGGAGGAGGAGGCTGGGCCCGGCATGGGCAGCGAAGCAGGAGGTGGGACCCAGCGTGGGCAGAGAAGGAGGAGGCGGGGCCCACCAGCAACCGTGGAGGAGGCGGACAGCAGATTGGGGCTGACAGGTAAGAGATGTGCAGGGGTGGGACCAGCCCACCTGAGAACCTGCGGAGCCCACCATAGAAAGTCTATGGTGGGCTCTGCAGGGTCACTCTCAGGTGGGCTTTTTGGTACCTCAGGTGGGCTCTACAAGGGAGCGTAACTAGAAATCACAGGTCTCCATGCTAAATTTTGCTATGAGGCCCTATGATTCCTAGTTACGCCCCTGGTAGGGACCCCCCTGCATATTACTTAGATATGTCAGTAATTAAATGCATCATCAACATCCTGCAAGTCTACAAAAATGTGGTTATGTACACAGATATGAGCCAATGTACCTCATATGCAAGAACTGCTTGTGAACCAGATTGTTTTATGTATATTTTATTTTCCTTCCAAGATGTGGCCAGTCTCTGTTGCAGAAGAAAGGGATTTCCAGGCTAAATAACATAGTTAGCAAATTTGATTCTATAGACAAGAGAGCAACAATTTAAAAGAGAGATTGCAAGGTGGGCTTCAGTGAGGTTGCTTTAGTGAATTACCAGGATATGAGTTTCATGCGTAAAGATGTAAGTCTGTGCTTGACATAATAAGTGGGAAGATTCACCGCATTGTTCATCTGTTCAATCTTTCTTCATATTGATCTCACATGTGGAAAATGATAAAAATAAAAGGTGATGGTCCTAATAACAGGAGCCCACTTTATGTCTTTAGATAGCCTTCAGATGTTTAAAAAAATGATAAGGTAAGCACACACACCCCAGTGTCTTCATTTGAAATTTATATGATACAACTCGAGACCAAGGTTATAAAAAAAAGCAAAATTAGAGGCGGTTTGACTGTACCGCAAATTCGTACATCGCTGCTCTAGATACGATATGTGGTCTCTGCTATCCCTCTATGGGTCAGCCTAAAAGCATTTGAAGCAGCCCCCATAGCCATTGATAACCTTCTATGGATACCCCCACAGTTACGTTCTAACATCATCAACCCTATTATTAAACATTCATTAAAGGTGAGGATAGTGTCATATATTCAGGAAAACTCCTTTCCCCTCATTTTCCCTCGGCTACCATCATACACAATCCCTCCTTCCTGCCAAGCTATGAAAAACCAATGAGATTTGTTTGGTGGCTTAAATATGGCTTCAGATGTCTGTATGACTTAAAGTCCATTTCCACCTGTGTAAGTGGTTAGCATTTATTGTGGTAATATAGAGGTGCATTGATGATGTATACATGTGCACATTTTCATGACTCACAGTGCAGGCTTTCCTGATTTTTAATGAACTTTTTATTGGGCCTGAAGCCTAAAAATTAAAATTTTTCTCCACAGGAAAATCGGTCTGATACCGGGGTCAGATGGTAATCAGGATAAAAACAGCTCTCCCCCTCCATGTTATTCATTTTAACCAATCAGTAAACAGCAGCTCTGCCTTTGCACACAATACACAGTTGGGGGGGGGCAGATGAATGAACTAATGAATATGAAGAGGAAAGCTAACAAAAAAGTATGTTTTTGTGTTCATATATATCAGCTGCATATGACTGGTTCATGTGCACTGTGTACGTTGCTGGCATATGTTTTTTTTTAAATATACCTCTGCAAAGATGGAAATGGGCTTTACCCATGGATGGGGGACTAATCTTTCCCCGCCCTAAAAACTTTTCGTAATGTTGCCTCATCTAAAAATTTCCAATACTTACAGATCAAAACGTATGTAAAAAATGCCCTTGAACACACAAACTCATCCCTTTCCCTGACCTCCTTTGAAAACATACGTCTTAGCACTCTGATGGGAAAGGGAACGGTGTATGTTACTCCATCTGGGAATTGGTGTACCACCATCTGCTTGCATAAGTCCACAAATGAAAAAACAATCTTGATGCCCAACCCTAGTGGGAGATCTGGAAAGTAATGGCCTATGGTTCAATTAACTCAACACTTGTGAAAGGTAACTATTAACTCTTAGTAAGATGATACGTGATTGCACAAATGCTGGCGAAAATTCTGATCTGACTCCTCAAATAAGTGCTTCAAAGGATCTACCGAAACAGGTACCCTCAAACACATCTGGCGTGATTGCCCAAAACTTGAAAGATTCTGAATTAATGTTTACCAATTAGTCTATACTGTCTTGGGAAGGGGCATTCTTAGAAACCCATATGAGGCAATTCTCAACCTAAAAGCTACTGATTGTCCAAATGAAACTACTTACCTTTACCTTTACTTATCTTTAAGGTAGACAAACTCTGGCTAGGGCATGGTGGTCTATGATACCAATGATAGCACAGGTTAAAAACAAAATTACCTTGCACCTAGGAAAAAAAGAAATGGTAGCCATACTGGAAAACTATGAACAGATTTCAAGTCTGAGTGCCATGGATAACTTGTACCCGCCCCTCCCCCGTCCGTTCCGCCTGTCGGCGCTGGAGGATTGGAGCGGGCAATCCAGTCCCTCCCCTGTCACGGCAGAGAGCCGTGACAGGATCGAGAAGTGAGCGAACGGCGGGATGTGTTCGCTCACTTCCCGATCTACTGAGCCGACCTGTGACAGTCTCATTGTCACAGGTCAGCTAGACCTATGAGGATGAGTGAAAAACACTCACCTCATAGTTCTCCTTTAATAAAAACTGATTAATACAGAAACAAAATATATAAGATCAAAAAAAGATCTTTGGCTCAGGACTTTGCATAGCTGTACCCTAAATCCTAAACCTTCTAAAGCAGAGAAGGCACTTTGGATTCTTCATATATTGTCATATATTGTCACTAAGCCTCCTCCTTATTAAGGAAGACTAAGAGATAGAACTGCAATTGAGTTTAACAAGTTTATGTTGATGACTCTGAGTCATTTAGCTCAGTGTTCATATTAATTATTCATTTTCGCTGTAACAGATAACTTGTGACCCCCCGTTAACTTTTTTTAATCTCATCCTAGTTACAGGAAGATTGGGTGGAGGCAACACAGTTCTTATCAGTCACTGATAGGGGTGAATGATGTCAATATAAGCACACAAACATACATAACTAGAAATTTACATACTACAGGTAAACTAGTGCAAGTAGATCTAAACCCAATCACTAAAATCCCATATGAACCTCTTACACCACCCCCAAAAACTCTAAGATACCGTACATATTCTGCTACCTACATCACATTCAGTAAGGGTTTACATCTACTTTAACCCTTTCACTGCCACAGATGTAAGTACTAGGTTGGCGGAAGCAGCGACTTTTAAAGGAGAACTATGGGGTTAAGGCTTTTCCCCATAGTTCTCCTTAGGGTAATGGGAGCACACAAACTAGCGTCCTCCCATCACCCTAGGCTCAGTATACCGCAAGCTTCTGCTCGCGGTATACTGAAACGCCGCAGCTGAAGCGGATCCAGACAATTGTGCCGGGATCCGCCCAGCTGCGTGTAACTGACAGCTAGCTCTGCCTAGAGGCAGAGCCAGCTGTACCCGCCCCCTCTCCTGTCCGTTCCGCCAGTCAGCGCTGGCAGATCGGAACGGGGAGGGGGAAATCCAGCTCCTCCCCTGTCACGGCAGAGAGCCCTGACAGGATCGAGAGGTGAGCGAACGCCAGTATGTGTTCGCTCACCTCCCGATCTACTGAGCCGACCTGTGACAGTCATAATGACCTCATAGTTCTCCTTTAACTAGAAGAGAGCTTCTTGGATGTAACTGGGCGTGTATACACATCCTGTTAGTCCTGCCCGTCCACCCCGATGCGCGCGAGTAGGAAAGACACATAATTTAAAAACCGGCAGCAATGCCTGTTAACATACAAGCGATCCACCGGCTATAGAGCCGGCGGATCGCTTGTATGGGGTCCCGGTATGTCACCCCCCATTAAATCTTCTTAAAATCAATAAAAAAAAACAATGTTTCAACCCCCCCTCCCCCCAATTCATATACTAACATACAGTAAATAAGTCTGTCGGGTAAGCGTACATCCAAAACAGCAATAGCACCAAACATAATAGTATTTCTGTGCATGCCAGAGGGAGAGCGATAATTCTAGGGCCATTGTTCATGGTTAACTCTAAACTGATGATCTGTAAATCTTTCAAAGTGTCGCTTATGGACATTTGTGAGTGCTGCAATTCTTTGCTGTTTCATAGGAGCACAGAATTTTAAGACTTGTCATGTTTGGTATCAATTTATATAGTGCAACCTCATATTTTGCAAAAACATTGGGTATCATATTTAATTTGTTTGCACGAAAATTAAAGTGTATTTTTTACTGAAAATCTGGGTTTGCTAAACAGTTGTGCTAATATTGTGTGCATAAAAAAATATTCTTCAAAAAATATATATATTATTTTGGTAATGGTAATGATTAAATACGTTTCAGGTCTAAAATGACCTGCCAATCCCTACAAGCCCTACATTAATTTTTCCCTATGCAGTGTGTAAGCAGCACTCCTATGCTTTCCCTATCACAGATAAAGCACATTGCCAATATGGCTGCTGTGTCTACAGCCTTTTTATAGTAAAGGGGTTTGCTTATCTTTACCAGTCTTCTAAGCCAGCTGACTTAAGTTCCAAGGCCAAGCAATGCATTATGGTTACAAACAATTTGGTCTAGTGAATTTCCACATAATTTCACCAGGACCATACATTTCCAATCTGCAGGATTCGTGGTTCAACTGTTACATTTTAATGACCTACAGAAGCTGCAATATCCTGCTGAATGGGTGAAGTGGTGTAGACACTCACTGTATCAGTACTGTGTCCCACCCTGTCTACTGCTGAAAAAGGCAGGTGATCTTGGAGAGGTCTGGGGTGGCTGTGGAGATGTCTATGTGCTGTGGACCCACACCCTGGGAATTGCCATCTCTCTTTGAGAGAGGAAGACCTTCACCTAAACCCATAGCCCATGGCGGGCAAGAGGGCTGACCGCAACCTCCACCATCAGGCAGGTGAAGGATGAAAGTGGCTCTGGCATCCCCCAAGATGGAGGCTGCAAGTCTGGATAATGAGATGCTGCATTGAAAGGGCTCTGAAAAGCTGCCTTAGGGATTATCGTTGGTGTCCCATTGTAATGGAAGTGGTTAAGTATGATTATGACAAAATGCCTATCTCAATAGATCAAAATAACATATATACAGTATTACAATTGATCTATTGAGATAGGCATTTTGTCATAATCATACTTAACCACTTCCATTACAGTCCCCCGTAAAATGACTATTTAAAATGATGATTTTTCTTGTCCCTTAACCTATCACCTGGCACACACCCCAGAACTCTTCTCTTAACATGCATAGGGGCCATCCAAGGGGCTAATCCACCTCTGGTCCCGACATGTTGGTGTGCACGGTCAGGTGGTCTCTGTCCCTACTCTTACTTATCTGGTAAGGTGTTTGTGGTATTATATTTGGGGAGACACAGATTGTAATGGGGAATATGGTTTCTCGTAGTCATACAGGTAGGTGTCCTCTTCTACCTGTATCATGGTTGGGGTCAAGGTACTTTCATCAACCACCTTGGTCATCAACTTTCTGGCATAGGGGATTACACAGCAAACTACTAGGCTGACAAAGATCAGAATCAACTGTTAAATTATCGTTAGAAAGACCATTCGTGAAATATTTCTGAACGTAGATCAAAGAGTGTATGGGCACCTTTACTCACCCTACCTTAGTGTTAACAGAAATTTAGGGGTCATTGACCAATCTTGTGACAGCCCAGAAAAGATTAGGGCATAAGTGTACAATGTCGAGGTTTGACACTGTTCTGCCCCTGTGTTTGCTTGTGCTAGTATTAGAATGGTCAGTGATCAATATCTCCATGTCAGACTGTAATGAAATAGAATCTGTTTCTACTGAAAAAAATATCTTTTGACTGTTGATGTCACCTAACCACTTTCTATGAGCTATGAAAAATCAGACTTTTATAGTGGTAAGTTAAAAAAAAACAACCAGGACAGTAACTGTTGACTTCATGAATGCATTCTATTTAATTTTTTTTTTTTTCCACTGCAAGAGGAAGAGGCTTCAAAAGTCGTGGTAAGCAGATTACTAAAAGATAACACAGGAACAAAGGCTGATAGGAGCAGATTGCCTACGTGGAATGCACCATGGCTTTAGTTAACCTATTTGCTTCTGGGTGTAAAGCTTACAAAGCGAACACAGTCATAGAAACCATGCAGCTTCTTGCCAATTAAGAGTTAAATAAAGTCATTCTTCATTCACAATGGTTATATGTTGTCATCTGCAGGCAAAACTTGAGTACTGCAAGTCATAAAGCTTTGCATGGTGGTGACTATGGTCATCAGACCTCATTAAGATCTTTAGTGAGGCTTTAAAGCAATTGTATAGCTGCTGATTTATAAGGCATTGTTTCCCTGAGTAAATAAAGCGAGCCATTAAAACAGTAGCAATGAGCACTATAGTAATTCCATTTATGTTTATGGCCCAATGTGGTATAGATTTTCCATTCAGTAAGTGTTTTATGCTTCTGATTTGCAGAATTGTGCATTATAAGGTTTAAGGGTTCAATAAGTATGGACTCATGAAATATATGCAAAGTGAAAGAATTATTACAATGTGAAAGCAATATGGAATCCCCTTTGGAATTTAGTCAATAGTTCACTGCTATATTTTATTAAAGCTTTATTTTTATAGATTATGTGAAATCTAATAGTAATATATACACTAAGTGGCAGTGACATGCAGTGGAGTCCGTTTTCGTTGGGGCATTTCCCCTGCCAGCCCCTACCCTACTCCCAGCCCACGTCCCCAACCCAGTCAACGAGCCTTGTGGAGGAGGGAGGGAGGACGGAGAAGGGAGGAGACAGGGTGGAGCCTCCCTCTCCCTCACTTGCTCATCACCGGTGAGGCATCGAGATCGATGTCCTCACTGGGTTTTTCTTTGATTGGACAGCTTGGACCAATGGCGCAATGCCATTGGTCCAAGCCATCCACAGAGCTCAAGATGCTAACGGCAAGTAGAGGCTGTTGCAGCTCTTGCATCTGCCTCTGCTGAGACACTCTGCCTCTGCCCTGCTGAGACCCCCCGCATCTGTCCCTAGTGAGACCCACGCTATCTGTCCCTAGTGAGACCCTCCTAATCTGCCCCTCTTGAGGCCCCCGGCATCTGCCCTAGTGAGACCCTCCTTATCTGCCC